TTTTGTTCAGCCTTAGAACTAACCCAGAACACCACTTCTCCCTGAACCGATATTAACCTCTATTCCATCCTATCGTCTCCTTCTAGGTGTGAAAATATCTTCCTGTCAGTGGATCAATTTAAACAGCATAGATTCCCCAGCAGGACGCCATCAGAACCGGGCCCTCCATGATCAACAACTCATCCAGAGGATATGCTACTAATTAGGGCTGCAACTTACTTTTTTTTGCAAACTGATTAATCATTCAATAAGTTTTTCGATAAATCAGTTAATAATCAGATAGCAAAAGGTTCCTTAACAAAGACTTTTTACTAAATCAAACCAGGTGAAACTAAAACCTTTCCACTTGAGGAATTCTGGATAGAGCAGATTGACAGAAGGAAAAGTCTTTATCTTAAATACAAATTTTTTTTTTTTTTACAATTTTGGTATAATTGCTGCTGAAGGTTGGTTGCTCTGTCAGCTAATGGCACGTTTTCTACACTCCGGTTAACAGTTGATTAATAAATTAGTTGATGCTTATTTTAATAAATGATTAATCCTATTAATTGTTTCAGCCCTACTATCAGCAAATGCATGTTTATAAGGGATGGACTGCAGGAGCAGCAGCTATTGGTACCACTACCGATGACTGTTTCTCTGTCCTGTAAGTCTGCAGCAGCAGTTCCTGAGATAAAGAACCTGGTTTAGATCTTTCAGAGATCAGACCTGCTAATATGAAATCCTTCAGCTGAGAACTGAGGAACCTCCTCAAAGAAACCCGACCAAAGTCCTTCACAGATTCCTTTAAGATCATCTTCATTCTGCTGTTAAAGTGGAGCTTAACTAAAGCTCCTGAAGCGAACCTGAGCTGATCTCAGGAGGTGATGAAGGAGAAACATGTTGGACTCACCAAACGTGCAGCTGAGCCACCAGGAACCAGGAGTTCAGGGTGTCGGGTAGCGAGCATTCTGAAACAAACAGAACATCATTAGTTCATCATCACAGCAGAGCAGCTCATCACAGCGAGGAGAAACAAAGTCCCAGAAA